CTTTGATGGCTGTTGACTTATCGCCAGGGCACATCTCCTCAGTTTCAGTACATTCACGTGGGGTGAGGGACGGATCACAATTACCCTCTCTGGACACATTAAAGGCACAAGAAAGGGCACTTCGAACAATGTTTGCCGACGCCAAATGCCGCTGTATTCGCATGCAGAAGGATCGGGAGTGGCTTAGAGAGGAACGGCGTGCTTTTCAGCTGTCACATGGTCGTCCCCCATCGAACCAGGAGGTGAGTCCATTTGTCGATATTGAGCTCTCTCCCGTAGCAGCTCTGAAACTATCGAAATGCCTCTCGCGACATTCAAGCGCCCGTGATGTGGTGGTGCGGAGCATTCTTCTCCAGCAAAGCATCACTAGGAACCGAATTGTGCAGAGTGGTGAAAAAACACTTTTTCGATGCCTTCGTTGCTTTCACGTTTATTCCGCGCGTCCTCGAACACTTCTTCGTGACGAAGTGGGACACAGTTGGATGCAGTATGAGGCTGAGCGAAGGAAGGTTTCTGTGGCAAAAGAATTGGCACATTGCCCTCAACTTCGGAAGCGAAAATACAGCGTTGGAAAACAACGCAAGGCTCTCATGGAAGACCCGCACTGTTGTCCCTCCTGCGGCAGCCCAAAGGCACAGTGGTTTATGGAATATGTGCATTACCGCACGCACGCATGAGATTCCTCGCTTTTCTCCAGCTTGTTGGATATTCTTTTTTTTTTTTTTTTTTGCCACCTTTATATTTTTTAAAATACTTTTTGGGTGTGATTGATATTTGCAAATTAAATTGCAGTACTTCTTGCTTTGCGATTATTATTCACTTTTTTTTTTTTTTTTCCTTCTCTTCAACGAATTTTGAAAGACCAAGGGAGCGGTCGCGGCGCACTCAGGTGCATGGATTGGGTGTGGCTCGCCCAAAGAAGTTGATACGCTGTATCCTCTGTTGCATATTTTCTGTGGCCTTAGCATTTAGCCTGCTGCTGGGTGGTGGCTTTGAGAGTGATGGGAACAACGGGAATGAGAATTCCCGCGGGGCATTCACCATGACCTCTACTTCTTTGTTCGTTTTATCGTCTGTGCAGCCCGCGGTTCAACATGACTTTCCGCGTACCTCCACTAACGGTGCCTTACGGTCCGAGATCCCATCGAATGCGCCCTTTGAAAAAAGATGCGCCTATCGAGATCATTCTGCACAACAATTTCGCCACTCTGCAGAGCACCACATTTGCAAACAGCAGGGCCGATGGCGGACTCTTCATAACGAAAATCAAAAAACTTAGCTACCGCCACTACGAAGTTCACAATTTCTGTGTCGATCGTGGGACACTGTTTTTTTTTTTTCATGACCAGGTTCATGGAACAGGTAAATTTAAACGAGGCCTGCGTGCGTGTAATGAGTTTTCACGCCACAGCCCATTGATATACATCCATTATTGGTCAAATCCACTTCCGAACGACACGTGGCGGCCTCTCCCTGCTCCGCTTAACACCGTCACGAAGGGATGGATCCTGCAGTTTTGGTGTCAGGATCTTTTCCACATGACACTTTCACTTCTTCCGGCTTTTCACGCCAAGAAAGATTTCGGATAAGATTATGCTGACGTGTATATTCGAATAGCGAGAGGAATACGGAAGGACGGTGGCTATTGTAACGTTAAACTTGGTGACCCGCGAAACTTTGAGAATCCGAGAAACACGAAATATGCTAAGGATCATCGATTTCCCTTTGCAGGGAATCACTGCTGGCCGTTTTACTGAATCTTGACCAACCGCCCGGAGAAGATTCATCCGCTAAAATCCGGTCAAATTCTGCAAACTGCGTGCTACCAACACGGGGTCATTGACAAACGTTACATCAAGAGTATGATTGGTGTAGAGGCAAGGAACCATAGTTTCGGTGTATTGGAGATGATGGGGGTTTTACCTGTTTAGCCAGGCCCCTGCGGAAACAAATACCGCGCTACATTGATTGACCGAAGTGGACGCACACCTAGTTTGTCGAACATACCGGATATATTTCAACTTATGCAAAGTATGGGCTTTGAGTCACAAATTGTGGCCTTTGAAACGATTCTCGCTCGAGAACAGCTGCGCATTGCCACAATGACCGTACTTTTTATTGGCGCTCATGGAAATGGGCTCATGTGGCTACAGTTCCTGCCCCCAGTTCCCTCGGTGGTTGAGCTGATTGGTGTGTGGTATACACCCTACGCATTGCTTTGGGGGCACAGTTATTCTCACTCCACAGATACGACTAACCCTGGAATACAAGCGGCGAGGTGAGTAACACCTCTTCGCGTACAACATGACGGAGATGAGGACTTTTGGTGAAGGCCAAAGAGGCAATTGACCTTACGAAATGTGGTGAAACAGCCTTTGAGCTGAAAAATAAAAAACTTGCCAGTTTATACAGCAGTTGTGTACCGCACTGTTAGCGATTGACGCGCCGAGGACGGAAACAAATGAGGTGCGCATGCACGTGTCTGCCTGTCCGTGTTTGTCTCATTCTGTGCACTGTGGGGATTGCTTTTCGAATACAAATTTCGTTAGGGTTTATTTATCTAAATTATGGCTTTACAATCCAAATTGTTGGGGTTTATTTCCGTCATGTGTCTTTGTGTTGTTGCTGTTTTTTTTCTTTTTGGACTAATTTTTGGACTTTAAACATAAATCAGATTTAATATCAAAAATTTTAGTTTTGTTAGAAAAGACGATGGAAAGGATGAAGTTGCAAACTCAACGGCGGGATGTTTTACTTCGACTTGCCTCTTCTTCGGGGACCACCCTATTTTTTCTTGTCTGTGGGACCCGTATGCTTGTGCTTCTAGCGATGCTCGTCTCATACGCGGTGCTCCCGAAGTTGCTTGGCACGGAGCTTCTTTTTGACACGTCTGGGATGCTGCAAAACGATACGAGTGGTCAGTGGGGGTTTCTGGACTTTCCTCGTAATTGGGACGGCGTTCACTACTTTCATATAGCAAAATATGGGTATTCTCATGAAAACACTTGTGCATTTTTTCCTCTTCTTCCCATCCTTGTGCGTATTATTTCGTGGCTTAACACTTTTGTTTGTCAACACCACTGGCCGTTTTTCCTATTTCCTTCCAGGTGGCTTTGCTGAACGTTGCGCTGGGTGGAGCCTCTGCTATTTTTCTGCGACGTATTACGGTGCTGACTCTTCTACGTTCGACAGTGACCGGTAGAATGGCGGCGGTTGGTGGAACATGGGCTGGATGAGTTACCACCACCACCAACCCCGCGGCATTATAGTCAAAAGGAAAACGACTCGGGTAAAGATGTCAAGAAGACGCTAAGGCGGGAGGTGGGTGCGGTGCTTTTGATGTGGATGATGAGTCCCACAGTCGTGTTTACCGTGGTTGTGTACACAGAAAGTGTATTTTCATTCTTGACGTTTGTGGGATTGTATTTGCTTCTTTTTTCACCAAAGGCAGGAAGCAGGATTGTAACGATTGCTGCTGAGGCTGGCGCCGTGTTGTGTTTTACTTTGGCGGGATGGGCCCGCTCCAATGCCTTTCTGTATGCGGGATTCTTGTTGTACCCCATTTTTTTGCAGATTTTCTTATTCAACACGTACAGGAGGCGTTACCGCCAGTACCATGGGGACACCAAGGCACTTTCGCGGTGGCCAAGCTTTCTGCGGTGTGCGGTAGTTGTTTTGGAATTGATGGTCATTTGTGTACCCTATCTTTCCATGACGTACTTCTGTTTTGGTCGGTTTGTGCCGCAGTGGGATCCCACGTCACGGATGACAATTGGTGGTCGCTTTTTCTCCTTTTACGGATGGATACAAAAACGCTACTGGAATGTGGGGTTCCTTACTTCCTACCGGTTGAAAAATATTCCGAATGTCTTTATTTCCGCCCCCATTGTATTTTTCACAGTTCGGGGGTTTTGGCTTTTTTATGTCATTCCGGCATTTGAAGGGGCGACCTCAACAGCATCAAAAGAAAGTAACGGATGCGGTGGTGTCAGTAGAAAAAAAACGAACGGTTTACAGAAAAGCCTATGCTTTTATTTTTCCTTCTTTTGTCGTATAATAGAGGCCTTAGTTCAATCTTCCAACATGGTGTACCTTGTTATCCTAATTTGTATTGGGGTTACTATGGTGCATGTGAACGTGGTGAATCGTTTCATTATGTCTTCACCCGCGCTGTACTGGATTTGGGCTCGACAGATTGTGTGGGATCCATGGGGAGGTAGTACAATTGTCATGTTCCGCATATTTGTGATGTGGACTTTTATTGGGGTTCTTTTTTTCCCCAATGGAATGCCATGGACTTAACCTAGTAGGCATTTTATTAACTGTTTCTCCATTTTTTAAAAAAGACATACATATATATATATATATATACCCTGATAAAAAGAGGATGTTAATGTACGATTTGTTTTATCTAAATGAAAATTTGGTTGACCGCAATGGAAGGAGTCAAGGAAACCGATAACGGTAAGAAGAATTTTATTTTATTTATTTTGTTCCATCTCACTTAAATTCTTTTGATTTCCACCCTTGCGGCGGGGCCTTTTGGCTGTAGGACTTCTGAACCAGCCACCTCTTAAGTAATACATATATCTCTAATCCGTAAAGAGTGCACGATGTCATGGCAGTGGCGATCCGTGAATATATTGTATTTATGAGATAATCATCTAGGGTGTGGCGAACCCACTCTCTCTTCATTTACCTTTCTTTGCTTTTTAATATATATATATATATATGCATGCATGTATGGGTTCAGGATCCGGCAAGCAGCCCAGGTGTAAGTTCCGTTCATGTATATATATATATATGTGTGCGCATACTGTCAATTTGACGGATATGAGGGAGGGGGATCCTTTCCCTTTTGGGATTGCTTTTTTTGATTCCTGCTAAATTGCTCTTATTTTTGCGTTTCCTGTTGTTGTGCATCTTGGTGGATTTTGTTGTTTTTTTTTACTATGTACTGCTTTTGTTGCTTTTGTTAATTGTTGTTGTTCTTTTGTTATTATTATTATGATTATTATTTTGCGTTTTGCGAGCAGGTGGGCTTTTTCCCGTGGTGTTGGGTTTGTCGTAGAAGGATGAAGCGGAGTCTTCGCAGTCGGAAGGCAAAGGGGACGGCGAAGACAGGTGCTGCTCCCAATTTGCCTGGGAGCCATTCGGAAGCATGGAAAGCAGCGTCTTCATCGGACAAGAAGAGTGTCAGTAAGGGATTCAGCGGAGCCCCTGCAGGCAAGGCGAGTTTGAGCGGTGGAAGGCGCATAGCAGCGCTGACATGGGCGTCGGGGTCGAATTATTCCACAGAGCAAGGGAGGCACCGCGTGGCATCATCTTCGTCAGCCTCCATAAGTGGCTTTTTGCAGAAGCGGATCCTATCTGCTTTATGCGCGACGTTTTTTTGTGGTTTATTTGTTGCCGCCATGCGACGCATAATCGCTCAGTACCGCAGGAGGGTCGTGTGGGAAACGGTGGAGAAACCACGGGCGGCCTTTGTGATACAAACCGCATGGCGCAAGCACCGTCAGCGTAGGCGGTTGCTTTTGGAAAGCGTCTCTAGACTCATCATTTCATTAATGCGCCTGAAAATCAAACGCATTTGTGCGGCGAAGGAAAAGGCCGTACTTCTCTTGCAACGCGTTTTTAGATCGCAGAAGGAGCGACACTTTGTCCATTTCATGTACCAAAAAATGAGGTATAACCGGGCACTTAGTACAATGCGTAACTGTATAAATCGACGAGTGGCAAGGCGGCATATGGCATTTCTTGCAATTCAACGCGACGAGCGGCGGGTGTGTGAGGAACGCTGTGCTATTGATTCACTGCACATCATCTACAGTGAACGTGGTGATCTGCTTCATATTTTTCAGGTAATGCAGACGACGGCACCCGTGGCTTTCACACCCTTGGTGACGAGAGCCATATTTTTGGAGGAAGCCATCCGCTGCACCGGACACTGCCCATATTCTCCTCTTTCTTTGCATATGGCGAGAGCGCAACAATTTGGTGTCTTATCTTTCTCAGAGCCGCCGAGTGGGCGTGCGAGCTCGCTGAAGGAGAAGCAATTGGATACACCTTTTACAGATGGCGTTGATTTCAAACATAGTCTTGAGAAACACAACAGCGGGGATAGACAGTTCCCTGCACATGGAATCGATACGCATTCATGCACATCAGTGTTGCACACTGAAGAGGGCGCGCGTCAGTTTTTGCAAGAACTCTTTGGCCCAAATTTGCCGCCGTGCCCACTGGCGCGAAGAGGATTAAAACCGAGTCGCTTTGGTGAATGTGGTGAAATAACAGCCACGAAATCCCCCATTTTTCAGATGTGTGACTCCGCAGGGAACGACAACATTCACTCATGGCGCTCAATTGACGCAGCTCCTGGAAGAGAGGTTCTTTCAAAAGGTGAAGTGAATGCGGATTCATATCAAGCGGTTCCTCTAGCGAGGCCGCCATTTGGTGAGTTAGGGGCATCCGTGAATAACTTAATAGACGCTTTTATTGAGCTTCTTGTGCGTACAGAGGCCGCTGAGCGCAAGGCACTGGAATCGGAGCTGCAGAGCCGGCACAAGGAACAGATGAGAGAAATACAACGTTTTGCCGTCACTCTTCAAGCCACGCATGTCGCTCCGCTGCTGTATGTTCCCCTTCTTTCATCGATGGGAGAGACCTGGGCGGTGCGTCGAGCAGAGCAACTCTTTCGTGAGGAATATGATGAGAGACTGAAAATTATTGAAGAGTACCAGGCGACGCCGCTCCGATTTTTAGATCGTCCTATTCTTAACCTGGCGGCGGAAGAGAGGCGGCGGCGGTTGCAAGAGCGTCTGCGGACGATGAAAGAGAAAAAGGAAGAGAATGGGAAAGGTGTCTTTGCGGGATCCCCATTGGCAGCGGCTGCTCCTGCGCCCACGACGGCGCCGGTGGATGGACAGGGTAATAATATACGTCCATTGGTGGCGCGTCCTGTATCTGTCAGGCCAGGGAGTCGAACTCCCACTGTCGGAGCATCAATGCCTCAATTTCAGTTGGGATCTTCTTCTTTCTTATCTCCAGTACCTCGGCCGCCGTCTCCACCCCCTCGGAAGGTGCACGACAATCCCACGATGTCCTGCATCCCTTTGCAGACCTCTGATGAACGGACTCAGCGACGGCCACAAAAACAATTTGGCCCTGTAGTCATTTCAGAAACACCGGCCATCTCATCTACCAGTTCAGCAAATGTGGCTTCATTTATTGGTCATTTGAATGATGGAGTGTCGTCTCATGATACGTTCGTGGGTAGTTCTAGCGGTGCTTCACGAGACACCACGATTTCGCACGCGTCACCAGCGATTCGCGGTAACTCCGCGTGTCCTTCAGGTCTACTTCCGTCTCTCGCCAATTCCTTGACCCAAACTACTAGGAGCAACGAAGTGAAGGGCGGCAGCACAACGAGGGAATTTTACTTTCATTCTTCTATTCATTCCCTGCAGCGCCCCACCTCTTCCGGTGACGAGGAGAATGTTGCGTTGCCGTTGCAGAAGGCGGCTGTGTTTACCAACATGGAGAACGACAGTGGCTGTGGAGACCCCAAGAAGACAAAAACAGGCCTGGAAGCGTTGAATTATTGCACCAACAACGCTGTACCACGAGGGGTGCCGATTCCACTTCTAAGATCTTCAAGAACAGAGCGCAGCAATTTAGGTACAGTCCCACTCCATCCCGTTGCTTCTGAGAAAAATCTTGTCACGCGCAGAGAGTGTGGCGGCGATTACGTTCGAGGACGTTACCGCGGGCCTTCTTCATTTGTTCCAGTCTCGGGGTTTACCGGCGTTGATGATTCCCTGAGGCCTGTGCAACCGAACCCGGGAGGGGAGCAACTGAATTTCAGGTTGCAGGCAGAACAGGGACTAAACACGAGGAAGGCGAGGCGAAATTTACTCGAAATGTCTGGAGCGAGTTGACCCAATTAATTATTTATTTGTTTTATTTTATTTGGAGGTGAGGAAAGGAGAAAAAAAAAAAAAAAAGGAAAAACCGGAGAGAAAGGCTGCTGCACATCTGCAAAGACGCATTTCTCTTTTTCCCTATATGAAATAACTATGTAAATTACACATCTGAATTTCCTTTTTTGTTGTTCTTGTTTTCTCCTTCTGTGCAGATGTGTCTCACCCTGTCATTTGACGAACACATTGGCTTTTTGTTGCGATAAGAATGAATAAAGACCTTTCCATGTGTCCTTGAGTACTGTGCACGCGTAGGCAAACCACTTCCCTTTTCTCCCTTCTTCTATCACCCACGCACTCTTTTTTGTTCTGGTTGGAAGTGAGAAAGGGGAGAAGAGCGTGTTAGCCAGCACGTAAGCGAAAGATGGGGAGGCGCCGCATTGGTGGAAATTCGCGGGTGCTTCGCAAGAAGAAACTTAAAATCTCCAAGAGGGTCCCGACGTCACAAAATGGTTCTGCTTCAGCCGCCACAACTGGTAGCGTGAAGAGGAACACAAACTTGCGACTTAAAAAATCCGGTAGTCGGTTGTCGTCGGGGAAACAGCGGCTTTTAGCACTCGATGCATTGCGAAAAGAGCGCAGCCAATTGCTAAAACGGCAGGCCGCTGAGCGCATGGTATTAAAAGAGCATACAAGGGAGTTGGAAGCACGTCGACTGCGGATACGTAAGGGTGAGAACGCGAAGATGGAGCGGCGGGAGCTTGGGAAGTACATCCGCCAACTAAAGGAGGAACAGAAGTCGAAGCATCAGTCGGAACTTCTTTCCATTGAAGAGGCTGTGAAGAAAAACGGCGGTAAGAAGGAATACGACATGAAATATGACGCCGACGAGTGGGAAGACGTGGAGGAGGATGTGGATGAGTTTGACGAGGACGAACTGCAGAGTATGTTTGCGCATTTGACCACCTAGCAGCAGTGTCCGCGCGCCGCCACATGCTTCTGTTTTTTTCTCCCTCTTGGAGGAGTAGCCGCTGTTGGGGGGGGAGAGGGAAGACAGGACGCGTCCTCCAGCAGAGACGAAAATGCCGAATAAAAGTTGTGAAATTAAAACAAAAAGAAAAATGGAATGACACAAGAAAACGATTGGAGAGCAAATGTAAGCTTTGGTTGAGGCAAAAACTGCCATTTTTGTGTGTCCCGTTTTCTCTTTTCTTTTTCCTTTTGCCCGTTTATTGCCAAGGAAAAGCGTCAGAAGAGGTTTTACTTTAATTACTATTATTATTATTATTTTGTTGTTGTTGTTTGCGTGTAAAGCGTTTGTTTACATTGATGTCGTCTGTGACTGCGGCGATCTCAGAGGCTGCTTCTGCCTGCAGGGCAAAGATGGAGGCGGCAGGGGTGAACGAGGCGTGCATTCGCACATTTTTGAAGCAGCACGCCTTCATCAGCAAAGGAGAAACAGGCAACATTCCCGAGAGCAGCATATCTCCCGTAGAGTCTCTCGACTCACTTGAAGACCTCACCGTGCCGGCGGACCCTTCTCTACTGGAGCACCTGGTGGTACTGAAACTCAATGGCGGTCTTGGCACGGGCATGGGACTACAGACGGCAAAAACTCTTCTTCCCGTCAAGGATGGCAAAACGTTCATTGATTTTACTGTGCTGCAACTGGAACATCTTCGCAAGACGTACAGTGACCATCTACGTTTTATGCTGATGGACTCCTTTGCCACCTCTTCTGAGACGAAAGCCCATATAAAAAAATACTCATGGTTATTTGACACCTTTGACAAGGAGGTGGAGTTGATTCAGAACCGTGTACCAAAAATTTGCCAGGACACTCTTCTTCCCGTTACGTATGAGGCAGATGCCTCGTGCGAGTGGGCGCCTCCGGGACATGGGGACCTTTACACGGCACTCTATGGTAGCGGTAAGCTGGATGATCTGCTTCGCAGTGGGTATAAATATATGTTTGTATCAAACGGTGACAACTTGGGGGCAACGCTGGATGCCCGTCTTCTCGCATATATGAAATTAAACCAGTTGGAGTTCCTTATGGAGGTTTGCAGGCGGACTGAATCTGATAAAAAGGGTGGTCATATTGCCTATCAAACTGCTTGTTTTGACGATGACACAGCGCCCGAGCGTCGGTTTATACTTCGTGAGTCGGCGCAGTGCCCAAAGGAAGATGAGGCGAGTTTTCAGGACGTTGAGAGGCATCGTTTTTTTAACACGAACAATTTGTGGGTGGATCTTGCGGCCCTCAAGAAGACGATGGACAGCCACAGCGGGGCACTGCCACTGCCTGTGATTCGAAACGCAAAAACAGTGAACCCGGTAGATGGCACCTCAACAAAGGTGTATCAACTGGAGACGGCAATGGGCGCGGCCATTGGGCTCTTTAGGCGCTCTGCAGCAGTGGTAGTTCCACGAGAGCGTTTTGCCCCTGTAAAGACGTGCTCGGATTTACTTGCGCTACGATCCGATGCGTATGTCGTGACGGAAGATCAGCGTCTTGTTCTCTGTGAGGAGCGGGCCGGAAAGCCACCGACGATTGAACTTGATAACCAACACTATAAGATTATCACTGGTCTGGATGCGCTGGTGAAGGATGGTGTGCCATCGCTACGACAATGCACTAAACTCATCATTCAGGGTCCAGTGGAGTTCCAGAGTGGCACAGTGGTGAAGGGTGAGGTGGTGATACGCAACAGTAAGAAGGAGCCTTTCATTATTGAACGCGACCGAGTGCTGAATAATGAAGTGATGGAGGTTTAGATATAAACTCACTGGTGCGTGAGAGTCAGCGTGGAACTTTTTTTTCTTTTTTCTTTTTTCCTTCTTCTTCTTTTTCTTTTTTATCCCAACGATAAAAAGAAACATGTATCGCATGAGTGTGTACGTTGGATAAGAGACTATTTGTGGGTTTTCACAAATGTATGCATGTGTATATTGGCCTTTATGTATCTGGGGTTTGATTATCAACGGGAACTTGAAAAATAATAAAAATAAAAAAGTGGAGAGGGATCTAAAGAAAAATGATGAGCGAGGGAACAGGACAAATCCAAGATGCCTGTGATTCCGGTTTTAACAGAATAATAATAATTATTATTACTTTGGATTCTTTTTTTTTTTTTCTTTTATAAAATGATTGATTCTTCTTTTTGTTGTTATTGTTGCAATTTAGTGCAACGTTAGGAATAATGATGACAACGTGCGAAAATGTACGCGGCGTTTTGCAAAATTGTGGCGACGCTGCGCCCTTGCCGTCAGAGTCTTTGTCCACCAACGCCGTGAATCGTAGCCTCTCGGATCTTCATACACCCACTTGGTTTGTGCTCCTTGGCTTGAGCTCTGGACTGCGGACGCTGCTGTTACATCCGCTGAACCTTGCCATATCTCGCAAACGCATGATGCCAGAGAGTAGGCCTCCACCGGTGATGCAAATATTGTCTCAGGCATACCGGGGCGAGGTCAAGACAAGTCCTCTCAATCCTACAAAAGGGGTGAGGGCCATTTATCGGGGATTTGGTGTTGCATTGATTGGGAATCTTCTCGGCGAGGTAGCTTACCTTCACACACTTGAATTGGTGCGGGAACAACTGGAGAGCAAACCTTCGGCTCTGCAAGGGGCTTCTTCCTCGCAGGGACTTGATTTCAACGCGAGCAGTCACGCTGCGGCCGCGGGTGGCTTGGCGGGTGGTTTGATCTCCCTTCTTATTACCACACCAATTTCTGTCGTGTGCAATAGGCAGTTAACGGCTGGTTATGGCATGGCTTCTGGATATACTTATTGTTCTGCGTGGGCAACGGGGCGGGAAGTCAGCGGTTTGTATCGGAAAACAAATGAGTCCTTCCTTCGTAGGGGAAAAAATGCAATTCGTGGGTTCTACGCTGGGCTTTTGCCGGGTATCGCAGCACTTCCCGAGAATGCGGTGTGGTGGGCTTTGTATAGCAAGACGAAGGTCGTTCTATACACGTTATTTGAACCAACCTTGTCGCGCTGGGAACGCGAAAGGGATGCTAAAGATTCTCTTCGACCATTTTGGCGACAAAACTGGCTGTTGTCTCCTACAGACAACCCCGCATTGAACGCCGCGGCAGGCATGCTTGCTAGTTCCATGACGACGGTAGTTTTTAATCCACTTGACGTTCTTCACACACGGCTGCAGGCCCTACCAGTGGAGAGGCACGGCAAGGCAAAAGGCGTGCCGCTTGCACGTGTCTATAACCTCGTGGACAGTCTCATTCGGAAAGAGGGCTGGCGAGGGTTTTTCAAGGGAGCATCAGCAAATGTGGGTGTTTGTGTTTTGGATGGTGTGTTTTTTTCACTGTTTTTTGAACTTACAAAGCTTGGTAGCGATCGAGAGTTTTTGCGTCAATTTTAAAGGAAGGTGTGGGTGGGTGGAGGGGGGAGAAACAAGAGGTCATCTTCACGGTTTTCTGCAATACCAAGTGGATGAGCCGAAACTGTTTCTCATTGGCATTTTTCCCTTACAGCAGGGAAAGGAAATACAGCAAGACGTACTGGATGCCATTCACAGGAAGAGAAGGAAGCAAAAATGGAAATACAAATTATAAAACTGTTTACCGCTTTTCATAATGCGTGGCTCTTGTTTATTTTGCCACAACCCTCTTCCAATGCATATAAAGGAAGGAAATACAAGGAGGAGAGGGGTGGGGGAAATGTGTGGGAACACACTACTTGTGGAGTTCTGCTTGCTCCCACTCTTTATCGAGCCAATAAATTAGCCGAAAACAAGAAAACAATCAAACAACAACAACAAAAAGAAAAAGAAACAGAAACAGAAAACAGAAACACTTATTGTGGCGGGAGAAATGGTATTTTTGTGCATATTGGTTCATTGTGTATGGTATCTACTCCCAGCACTTATTGCCAATGAGACATGAGCCGTGTTTTTTTTTTTTTTTTTTTTTCTTCTTTTTAATAATTTTCCTTTTTTTTTTTTTGGCGGAGGGCGTAAGATTCATTACAGTTGCAGTTCCCTTCTTGCAATGATGCAATTTGAAGGACGGAGCTTGTGAAAAGAATGTTTGCGAGAAGGCTGGCTAACCAAACGAATATGTTCTGGTACGACGAATACATTTCTGTATGCTTCCTTTTTGTCTTATGATGCTTTGGAAGACCGCGATGGAGGGGGAGTCAAGGAACAGATAATTGTGGGACGGATTTTTATTTATTTATTTTTTTTTTTTGCGTCTTTTTCTTTTTCTTTACTTTTTTAGTGTAGAAGAACAACAGGGACATTCACACGCGCGTAGAGAGCGAGAGAGGAGTTGTGGTGGGAGGGATACGGAGATGGCGGCGACTGGTGGCGGTGACATTGAGGAGCTTGTCAAGCAGATCACGGACCATCCCGGTGTGCAGGGGCTGATCATCGTGAACACGGAGGGCATTCCGATCCGCCACACATTCCAGGAGCAATCACGGCCTCTCGCGGTGCAATACTGTGCGCTATTTCAGAGTCTGGCGATGAAGGCCCGAACGGCCGTGGTCGAGCTGGACAACAATAACGACCTTCTCTTCCTCCGTGTGCGGTCAAAGAAGCACGAGGTGCTTGTGGCTCCCGACACAAAGTACCTGCTAATCGTCATTCAACGGGTAGGGAATGACGACAACTTGCCGATCAACATAAAAAAGACGCCGTAAAAATGCGGGTGGAAAAAAAGAGAACCGCTTGAGTGAGAGAAGGAAACTGAGCATGAGATGGAAAGAGGCACTCGGGAAGGGCGGCAACGTCGTGACGTCATGTTTTATTATTATCTCCATTGCCCCTTTTTTTTGACTGTGTGTGTGTGTGTGTGTGTGCCCCGGCTTTTTGTTGTTTTTGGTGGTGTTGTTTTCCTTCCTTTGCTCTTTTTTTTTTTTTTTTTCTTCTTTTCTCCTCATGGTTCCGTATGTAATTATAGGCGTGGTGTTTGACCCGTGTATTTATCATCCCTACACACACTCACTCACCCACAAAATAAAAAAAAAAAAAATAAATAAAACCTTCTCTTTTTTTTTTTTTTTTCTTTTTCTTTTTCCTTTTTTTTCAGTTTTATGCCTTTTATCCACACTTGAAATGAGGGAATATTTCGTATTTCTTTATCTTATTCCTTTTCTCTTTTTTACTTCCCTCTCACCGTACATGCATACGTGTGCCTTAATGGATATTGTCCGCTCTGCCTACGCTATGGAGAAGGTGTCGCCAGCGTTCGTGGTTCAATACTCCGTCTTGTGATTGGTGTTTTTATTGCACGCGGCAACAAAAGGAGGTAAGACGCACATGGAGGTTGATAGTGATCATGACGTGATTGCGGCAGCTAAACAAAAGTTGAACTTGCTGGGGTGTCTCACGAAAGCCATCGAGGCGGAGTGGCAACGCAAAGAGGCTCTCCTGCAACAGCTACAGACTCAACTAAATGAGAAACAAAGAGAAAAGGAATCTGTGTGGCACCGCACACGCAATATCGGTGCAGATACTGTGGCCACATTGAATGAACTGCGTGCTATAGAAGAACTTTATATGCTAGACAGTATGCTGGTTGAGAAAAACACACAATTGCGCTTGCAGCAGCAAAGGCACGACATGCTACTTCAACAGTTAGCCAACATGGAGGCGGTTTTAGACGGGGTGGGGAGCAACGAGGATTTTGACCTTAAAAAGTGGGCTTCTTTTTGTGAACGTATGCATCGATACATTGATGCTACAGATCGATATTGTACTCGTCATACATGTCACGTTGTAATTCATCCTGTTTCGGTCATTCATCAGAGCATTCGCAAGATGTCTCGGACGGCACGAGAGCGTGATGAAAGACTTGTCATTCAACTGGAGTGTTTAGAAAAACAAATACAGCACGCATCATCATTGGACAGTACTCTTCAAAGCAATGAAGCTAAATATAGGTGCAAGTGGGAGGAGCTGAGGCGCGGCAATCGGGACCGGATGCGGAAAATAAAGAATGCAGGGGAAGTGGAGACGATGAAATTGCGTCAGAGTCTTCAAGAGGTGAAAAAAGAACACAGTGATCTTTTGTGCCGTTTGAAGGAGGAAGTGGTTGCCCCAGTGGAAGTTGACTTGCTGTCGCCGCCCCCAGTATTGGAAAATGCACATGAAATCTCCGCATCGTTGCATGAACCGCGTGTGGAGGGCCCAGACAAAAGCACGGATGGTAACTCTGAATTTATCGATAACACACTGTTGAGGTCGGTGCCGATACTCCGACGCTCCCACCCCACTAGCAGGGGGTGGCTAACGAGTGCGAGTGCTGCTACGGCTACAAGCGACAGAGACAATGACGATAACGACACGAATGACACCGGGAATGATGGTGTCGCTGTTGGGGTGCCAGATGCTCCCGTTCACGTTGCACCCTTTTCCCAGAGTGCAATGGGGTTGTCCTTCCATCGCGCGGCGAGCCCCGCACCACCGGGCGAGATGAACTCGGAGGTGGAGGAGCTTCGGTGCCAGGTCATCGCAGCGGAGAGAGATGTCGACCGGTTGCAGCAACGGTACGAAACATTGAGGGAAGAGGCCGAAAGAACACTACTCGAGTGTGTAAAAAAAGAAAAGGCTCTGGAGGAAAAGCTTTGCAAGTCGCGAGAGGCGGTATCTGTTCTTGAGAAGGAAAAGTCTGGGTGGCAGGCACTTCATGAGCAGATGTCACTTTTACTTTCTTAGGAAAGAATAGACGTAGAGCTACATAAAAATAACGCAACAACGGGGCAGTGAAAGGGTTAAAAAAAAAAAAAAAAAAAAAAGAAACATATCTGCATCTCCTTCTTTGTATTGAAGCTTGAGAATGAACGCAAATTGGCTCGGCTTCCAATTTTCATGCGCTCCTGAGTGAGTTGGCTGTACTCACTTTTTTTATTAGTTTTTTGTTGCTATTGCTGTTCTGCGAGGGGGTGGGGTGGGGGATTTTTTCCCATTTTTGTCTTTCTGGTTTTCTCAATTTTTTTTTTTTTTTTCAAGCATATTTGTTTCTGTTGCACCGCGATTGTAGGGTTTGCACCGAATTAGGCTCGGTGTGTTTGGAAGAGACGAGCTGCGACTCTGCACGAACTCATAGAACCATAACAAAGGTGAAAATGCCGCCGTTGATGTTAGCGAGTGAGCACAGAGCCTCGGAACTTCCAGCGGATTTCTTGGAAGCTTTCCCCACGATGGTACGTGACGTCAGTCTCCGCGGCGACATACGTCTCCCGCCCATCACGCCGCAGCAGCAAGGTGCACTTTTCGCTCTGGCGGCCAAATATGGCTCCGCATGCAGTCTTGTCATGGATGGCGAGGGGAAGTTTCATTTGCGAAACGGCTCTTCCAGTCCTCATTTGCAGGAAAAGCTGGCCGAAGAGCTGCGTTATCTGCATGATGAAGGGGAAAAGTCCCCTGAGGAAGATCCTCTTGTGTTGCACTGGGCATTTACGGACCGCAATGTACATCGAGAGGTGGTGACAATGTTACAGCTTCTAGCTTACGATATGGGCATATTCCTTGGTGAGCAGCTCTTTGACGGGGTTTATATTTACCGCGTGGAGGTTGCACTTCGGTATCTTCCGCAGTGGGAGGCGGAGCGGCGCAAACTCATAGATTCATCTCTTCAGGGGGAAGCAGATCCCTTTCCAATCCCTGTCTTGGCGATGAAAGATGAAGGTATAATGGATACATATAGGAAGTTTATTCGACCGTTCTTGTATGAATGGGATTTCGCCACCACACGATGCGAGGTAAACCTCAATCGGGAACCCACGGGACAAATACCAAAGGAAGCACGGTCTTTAGGCTCCCTATTTTCTTTGCGGCATGAAGTTGATTCGTCAGGAAAGATCTTTTTTAGACGTTGGACACGGCATCTTTTGCATGTTTTTTTCAAGTATGCGGAGGAGCTCAGGGCGCAGATAGC